GCATATGGTATTTATTTTTCTCTTTCTGACTTACTTCGCTCTGTATGACAGTCTCTAGGTCCATCCACCTCACTACAAATAACTCAATTTCGTTTCTTTTTATGGCTGAGTAATATTCCATTGTATATATGTGCCACATCTTCTTTATCGATTCATCTGTCGATGGACACTTAGGTTGCTTCCATGTCCTGGTTATTGTAAATAGAGCTGCAATGAATATTGTGGTACATGACTCTTTTTGAATTATGGTTTTCTCAGGGTATATGCCCAGTAGTAGGACTGCTGGGTCGTATGGTAGTTCTATTTTTTAGTTTTTTGAGGAACCTGCATACTGTTCTCCATAGTGGCTGTATCAATTTACATTCCCACCAACAGTGCAAGAGGGTTCCCTTTTCTCCACACCCTTTCCAGCATTTATTGTTTGTAGATTTTTTGATGACGGCTATTCTGACCAGTGTGAAGTGATACCTCATTTGCATTTCTCTAATGATGAGTGATGTTGAGCATCCTTTCATGTGTTTGTTGGCAATCTGTATATCTTCTTTGGAGAAATGTCTGTTAAGGTCTTCTGCCCATTTTTGGATTGGGTTGTTTGTTTTTTTGATACTGAGCTGCATGAGCTGCTTGTATATTTTGAAGATTAATCCTTTGTCATTGCTTCGTTTGCAAATATTTTCTCCCATTCTAAGGGTTGTCTTTTCATGTTGTTTATAGTTTCCTTTGCTGTGAGGAAGCCTTGAAGTTTCATTAGGTCCCATTTGTTTATTTTTGTTTTTATTTCCATTTCTCTAGGAGGTGAGTCAAAAAGGATCTTGCTGTGATTTATGTCATAGAGTGTTCTGCCTATGTTTTCCTCTAAGAGTTTGATAGTGTCTGGCCTTACATTTAGGTCTTTAATCCATTTTGAGTTTATTTTTGTGTATGGTGTTAGGGAGTGTTCTAATTTCATTCTCTTACATGTAGCTGTCCAGTTTTCCCAGCACCACTTATTGAAGAGGCTGTCTTTTCTCCATTGTATATTCTTGCCTCCTTTATCAAAGATAAGGTGACCATATGTGCGTGGGGTTATCTCTGGGCTTTCTATCCTGTTCCATTGATCTATATTTATGTTTTTGTGCCAGTACCATATTGTCTTGATTACTGTAGCTTTGTAGCACAGTCTGAAGTCAGGGAGTCTGATTCCTCCAGCTGTTTTTCTTTCTCAAGATTGCTTTGGCTATTCGGGGTCTTTTGTGTTTCCATACAAATTGTGAAATTTTTTGTTCTACTTCTGTGAAAAATGCCAGTGGTAGTTTGATAGGGATTGCATTGAATCTGTAGATTGCTTTGGGTAGTATAGTCATTTTCACAATGTTGATTTTTCCAATCCAAGAACATGGTATATCTCTCCATCTGTTTGTATCATCTTTAATTTCTTTCATCAGTGTCTTATAGTTTTCTGCATACAGGTCTTTTGTATCCTTAGGTAGGTTTATTCCTAGGTATTTTATTCTTTTTGTTGCAATGGTAAATGGGAGTGTTTCCTTAATTTCTCTTTCAGATTTTTCATCATTAGTGTATAGAAATGCAAGAGATTTCTGTGCATTCATTTTGTATCCTGCTACTTTACCAAATTCATTGATTAGCTCTAGTAGTTTTCTGGTAGCATCTTTAGGATCCTCTATGTATAGTATCATGTCATCTGCAAACAGTGACAGTTTTACTTCTTCTTTTCCGATTTGGATTCCTTTTATTTCTTCTTCTTCTCTGATTGCCATGGCTAAAACTTCCAAAACTATGTTGAATAATTGTGGTAAGAGTGGACAACCTTGTCTTGTTCCTGATCTTAGAGGAAATGGCTTCAGTTTTTCACCATTGAGAATGATGTTGGCTGTGGGCTTGTCATATATGCCCTTTATTATGTTGAGGTAAGTTCCCTCTACGCCTACTTTCTGGAGGGTTTTTATCATAAATGGGTGTTGAATTTTGTCAACAGCTTTTTCTGCATCTATTGGGATGACGATATGGTTTTTCTCCTTCAATTTGTTAATATGGTTTATCACATTGATTGATTTGCGTATATTGAAGAATCCTTGCATTCCTGGGATAAATCCCACTTGATCATGGTGTATGATCCTTTTAATGTGCTGTTGGATTCTGTTTGCTAGTGTTTTGTTGAGGATTTTTGCATCTATGTTCATCAGTGATATTGGCCTGTAGTTTTCTTCCTTTGTGACATCTTCGTCTGGTTTTTGTATCAGGGTGATGGTGGCCTCATAGAATGAGTTTGGGAGTGTTCCTCCCTCTGCTATATTTTGGAAGAGTTTAAGAAGGGTAGGTGTTAGCTCTTCTCTAAATGTTTGACAGAATTCGCCTGTGAAGCCATCTAGTCCTGGGCTTTTGTTTGTTGGAAGATTTTTAATCACAGTCTCAATTTCAGTGCTTGTGATTGGTCTGTTTATATTTTCTGTTTCTTCCTGGTTCAGTCTTAGAAGGTTGTGCTTTTCTAAGAATTTGTCCATTTCTTACAGGTTGTCCATTTTATTGGCATATAGTTGCTTGTAGTAATCTCTCATGATCCTTTGTATTTCTGCAGTTTTACCTTGCTCCTTCATCTGCTGTGTGTTTCTCTGTCTTCTCATTTTGCTTAACTTACTGTGTTTGGGGTCTCCTTTTCGCAGGCTGCAGGTTTGTAGTTCCTGTTGTTTTTGGTGTCTGCCCCCAGTGGCTAAGGTTGGTTCAGTGGGTTGTGTAGGCTTCCTGGTGGAGGGGACTAGTGCCTGTGTTCTGGTGGATGAGGCTGGATCTTGTCTTTCTGGTGGGCAGGACTGCGTCCGGTGGTGTGTTTTGGGGTGTCTGTGACCTTATTATGATTTTAGGCAGCCTCTCTGCTAATGGGTGGGGTTGTGTTCCTGTCTTGCTAGTTGTTTGGCATAGGGTGTCCAGCCCTGTAGCTTGCTGGCTGTTGAGTGGAGCTGGGTCTTAACGTTGAGATGGAGATCTCTGGGAGAGCTTTCACTGTTTGATATTACATGGAGCTGGAAGGTCTCTGGTGGACCAATGTCCTGAACTCGGCTCTCCCACCTCAGACGCACAGGCCTGACACCCAGCCAGAGTACCAAGACCCTGTCAGCCACATGGCCAGGTACGTGGAGAGTTTCTTGCCTTTTGGGAAGTCTGAGGTCTTCTGCCAGTGTTCAGTAGGTGTTCTGTAGGAGTTGTTCCACATGTAGATGTATTTCTGATGTATTTGTGGGGAGGAAGGTGATCTCCACATCTTACTCCTCCGCCATCTTGAAGGTCTCCCTCAACTCCCAGGTTTTTAACTTGGACACCTCCAGGGGAATGCTTGCCTGGGTGGCTTTGCCATCAAAGGTGCAAACTCAGCCAGTTAGAACACACCTGAAAAATGTTTCTCAAAAACATGTTGCTTTCTATGGATAAATTTGTTGGTTTATATAGTTCAGAATATGGACTATTAATCTATGTAAGGAAGTATCCCCTGACTGATCACACACTTGCTTTCGAACCCACTAGTTTTCTATAAACCAGTGAGACTTCCCAGACCTCACTGGTTGCCCTGAGATTGTATACATTATTAAAGATGTTCTGATGAACTCACTGTAATAAAATTACAGCTCTAAAACTTGTAATAAAACTCTGGTTTACTTTTGAGCAAAGAAGAAAAAGAGAAAAACACTATTAAACCAACAGACCAACTTGTACACCCATCTTGTTTTCTTCCCAGTGTATCCAGACTTGATAGAAGTGAGGATAATTTCATTTGAATAGAAAGCATGCCCAAGCAACATTTTTTAAAAAGCTGAATTTTACCAAGTACTTTTTCTTACAGCTACACTGTAAAAAATTCATCTCCTAGATGCAGAAGTTGGTTTTTGTGCTTTGGGTTTTTATGTTGCTATTTCCTTTCCTTTAGAGCAGACCATTTCAAACTTTGCATATCTAAGCAAACCAGTTACTTGAAAAGCAGCTCTACTTATATTCTCAGAGTTTTACTGCTCTATATAGTCAATGTCTTGGTTTAAGCCAAAGGGAATTTGTGGTTTCTGAGATCAGAAATTCAACTACTTTCTAAAACGAAAAGTTAGTGATTAAATTAGCCATTTGTAGACCCAATCTTTGGTTCTAAATGGTAAATGCTTTAATGACATTTCCACTATTTTGTAGTAAAAACATGTCAATAATAATAACCTGTATCTATAACAAAATAAAAAAAGAATAATGTTGGAACCTCTACTAGATATTCTAAGTCTTGCTTAAAAATATATATCTTATTCCATTTTCCTCCAAAGAAAGAACAGAGAACATGGAAAAACCTTTCCTCCCATCTAGTGGCTGGAAAATATAAAAATGCCCTCCATGTGCTTCTTGGAATTCCAGGCATTAGGGATTGTCTGACATCTGGTTGTTCACTCAGTTAAGCAAATATAAATTCTAAAATCTTTACCAAAGTTGAGCCCAATGGAGAAATATATGACTATGATGATTCACTAATCAACTTGTCTTAAATCAATAACATATAAGTCCCATCAAGCAGAAAGAAGGGCCATGGTGCTTCCTAATTCATTAATCTGAACCTACGATTAAAAAAATAATAATAAGGCTGTATGTTTCTGCTAACTGAAAAGGGACTTCAATTCTATTTGCCTCTAAACCAGCCAGTGCCCTAGATCTCTCCTGACCCTTAATTGCCCCTTGTTGGCCCCACACCTTGACAACTCTTCTCTCAAGAGCTGGATGTGCTGAATTCACTAAAGAGAGACAAGAAATTGCCCCTGAAACTGGCTGCATCCAGGGGCCTCAGCTCCTGAAACTTTGAATTCCAGACTCTGATACTGGCAGCAGGGCCTCTGTGCAGGGCTAAACCAGCCCACAGGAAAGCAGGTTTAGATTGGTTATGCAGCAAGAGGGATTAATGCTTGGTCTACCTGTCTTGTATATGCCTTGTGCAGATGTCAAAATCTCTGCTGAATTGTGCCTATCTCTGATGATTCTCACAGATTCAAAGAATGAATTTTGTGTACAGTCAGCAAAGTTCTGAGAGCTCCAGGAAGAAGAGGAAGGTCAGCCAACCAGTGAAGTCTTCATCCCTGACAGAAAATGAAAGTTAGATGCCTTTGCTACTTTTATTCTAAAATAAGTTTATTTTGCAACAAATATGCATGAAGTGTCGTAGTAGGAAAGTAAGTTCCTATCACCAAAACCTTTTACTAAATTTGCTGCTCAACTTTTTGAGTCAGTTTACTAAGTGCTAAATTACTGGGTAGGACGTGGGTTCACTTTGCCACAGGGAAACAAGGTCACCAGGGCTGCTTTGGGACAGCATTACTTCAAGGCTGAGTTAGAGATGAGACACCCTTTATATTTGTTAAAGAACCACAGCAGCTATTTTGAAAAGAAATAAGCTGTTGTTCTCAAAGGAAAGAGGGTTTTCTTTGCATAATTAAACTTCCCAGGTACTTAGACTACTGTGAAGCATTTTAACTTGTTGTAACCTGTGTGCTAGAATCCCTCTTTAGCTTTATTAAAACTCCCACAAAATTGCATAGCATGTGTGTGGTGGTGCTTATCCAGGTGTGATTTTTGTGTTAACTTCAATCACGAGGTTGATCAGCTAAGTGCTGGACCAAAACGTACTCTCCCTGTAGAGTTCCTCAAAGCTGGTCCTCCACCCGGTTCTGTTGGCCAGCCCGAGACAGGACTAGCTGCAGTGCAGGAGCCTGGCTCCCTTCTGAAGGCCGATGTTAAATGCTTCCCCCAAAACTTCAGTTTATCAGTCTGTAACCTGCAAATGATGCTACTAGTCCTCTCCTTATTCTGGAAGAATTTTGATAGACTTAATGATTAGTATCAGATGAATAATAAATGATGAAGTATTATTTTTATTATTTATATAACATGAAATTTAATAATTTTGTTTAAATGGATAGGACCAATAAGTTAAATGTTATAAGTGTGTGTGCTTTCTGGTTAAATAAAGCCAAAATACAAGGTATTTTTTGGCTCATCTTTTTTTTCTTCATTCAGATCAGTGTAGAAAGGACATCAGTACCTGGAGTGCTTGTTAAAATACAGATTACTAGGCCTGCCTCATTTCTACTAATCAAAATCTCAAGGGGTGGGCCCTATGGAAAACTCCCTGGGTTCTAATGCACACAAAAGATTGAGAACCAGGACCCCTGATCCAGGCTAAAAGGAGAATCCCTGGGGCTAGACATGCACTTTAGCCAGCAGAAGGCTGTGGGTTGTAACAGAGAAAAATCTGAGGGATCTTGCCTGTCCAGCGCTACCTTTTGTGAGACTCTCATCCATTTCTGATTGCCCATAGGCAGCCTCCAAACTGGAATCTTGAATTGGCCTGTAGCACTGGGGCCTGCCAGAGAGGAGCATTTTCCCTTCTCCCAGCATGTTAAGTATACTCACATAAGCTCACTCTGCCACTAAAAGGAGGAGGAGGGGGAAGGTATTGGGTTTATTATATCCTTGATAGAATTGTAGCCTGAGTCACCACAATTTCTTTTAAGAGAATCATATAAAGAGATTAGCTGTCTAGTAGAAGGATTAGGTTTATTTTGTGTCTCTCCAGAGCGTAGATCCAAGACCAAATTGGTGAAAGCTATAGGAGGTCATTTGGACTCAGTATAAGGAGGAACTTTGTAACTCCACAGGTTGTCAAAAATTTGAAACAGCCTGCCTTGTGAGGCAGTGATCCTACCCACCCCCCAAGCGTTTGAACACAAAGAAGCTTCATATATACTCTAGGAGGCTTTGACTCTCAGAGCAAATTAGTTATGGGGAGTAATTAGTCAATCTGGATCTCAGGAAGAACCATTTTGTTTAAAAGAGGAATTTAGCTCTTAATTGATATTTATAGTTTTCATAAACTTAGCCTAAGGTGGCAGGTCCTTTAAGTCTAGAATCTGAATCTGTCTAGATATTTTTTAGTGAGTTTACCGTCGCTATTAACACTCCCCCTCCCACAATGGATGCTAATAGGTGGAATGTGTATGTCTGATGCAGTTTGTGTGAGGCAGCAGAGAGAAGTTGCTGGGCCTGTGCCCTGCGCTGGGCACACAAAGGAAGAGATCTGCTATCAAGAGGATCTGAGAACCCAGAAAACGTGAACTAGCTGATTTTACACAGCAGAGTTCATATGTGCAACCAGCTATCAAGATTGGAGGCTGTTCAGTGCTATTTACTGGATGATTTATTGGGATGGGGAAAAAAAAAAAGAACCTCTTTTCTAGTCTATTCATTTCTGTCCTTAATAATAATGGAATGAGTAAACATAAGTTCATCAAGGAGCTGGAACTTCAGGGAAAAGAAGGAAGACTTAGACCCCGAGCTGGGGAGCCTAAGCTTTGGCACACTAGCCATTCCCTCACCCTGCTGGTGCCTGGGTTATCAGTGTGCTTATAAAAATCAGCTGCAGATAGCTTGGAAACTGGGACATTGTTAAATTAACATTTTTGCAGGGGAAGTTTGGCTGTCTGGGGTTTTTCTGTCTTTACAGAAAATTGGTCTAGCTGGAAAGAGACAGATTAGGTTCATGATTGCCACTAGCCTTTGAAGCCAGGCACCAAAACCACACCTTCATTTCCCTTCTTGTAGGTCCCTATGGTATCTGGGTTCTTTCATTCTCCAGCTCACCTCTACCAGGAAGACACTGGACATGTTCATCAGTGTCAGTTACATTCACACAAGTTCAAAGTTGTGTATATGTTTTTTAAAATAACACTAACCATTAGAGACAGTTTTCAGTGTGTCTTAAAATTGTCAATTCATGGTTTCAAACCCAACAGTACTGGATCTTGAGAGATTTCCACAGATGCTTATAGTAAAAATAATTCTCAGTCAGAATTCCTTCACCGGTCAGAAGGAAGACCCAGGTGATAAAATGAGAGTTAACACACTGTGCTTTTAAAGCTAGGTCCTCCCACGGTGTGAGTCTAGATTCCGAACAAGCGAAGAAATGCCTTTGTCCCAAATGTATTCTCTTTAGAAATTATTAGTTTATATATATATATATTTTAAAAGGTAATATTTTCAATGTGATTGTGTGTTTGTGTAATGAGGCCCTGGCTGAGACTTGCTATGCAGTTTGCAAGTTTCTGTAGAGGAGGAGGGCCTTAATTAATGGGCTCTTTGGTTTTGCAATGGTAAAGCCAAGATCCTATCCAGAAATGGAGAGACATGAGGTGCTAATCAGCTCACATCACTTCCCCTTGGGTGACTACATCTCTGCAAATAGGGTCTACCTTCTGGGAGTGTCGAAGTTGTTGAGACTGACTCTGGAGGTGGTGGGCTCACAGTGGGGAAGGTGGAGGGTAAACTGATCACTGCAACCTGGCTGGAAGTTGCCGTGAGATTTGCTCAGTAGGGGACCCTGGGAACAAGTCTCACTAAACAGTCTCGTCTGGTCTCAACTGTGCCATGAGGTTCAGCAGTACAAGGGTTTCCCCGTGGCAGGAGTGGTGAGGCAGGCAGATTCAGAGAGCCAAAAACATCTAAGACAGACTGGTGGAGCACAGACCATTCCTTGGGGATTCAAATACTTAGGGACCTGGTATAAGAGTGGGGTTTGTTACTTGTGTACCGCAGGACTCCTGAAGGCTGGAGGAGTCTGGGGCATCTGGATAATTACTAATCGGCTCTAGGGTAAGGAGGCAAATTTAGGTTTTCATCTTTCTGTGAGCAAAGTAGTTAAGGAAAAGGCTAGGGTGCTGGCTGCAGAACCTGGTTGCCGTTTTCTAGACAGGTTATTTCCCTGCTCTAGCCCTCGGATTACTCAATCTATAACATGTGGATAATAGCGGTACCTACCTAGTGACACAGTTGTGAGGATTAAGCCAGGCAATTCAAGCTAAGTGCCCAGCGTGCATATAGTCGGTGCTCAACAGGTGTTCATCACTTTTGCTATTTTTTAGCTCTTGGCACGTCCCCTTCCTTAGTCTCAGGAGCTCAGAGTTCCTGTGCTGCTTTTTGCCTACCCTGAGATCCTGCATGGACACCCTCTCCAAGCCTGGGCTGGCACCTGAACCATGCTCCCAACTGCTTCTGTTCTCAGCACCCTCCCCACTCCTTTCCCTCAAGACAGTTTGATGGAAGGGAAGCATCAGATTAAGCTTAATGCGCTGCCCTCCCACATGTGCACTTTAAAACAAAAGCTTGTGTATAAGAAAACTGAATCTCACATAGGGAATGAGATATGAGAAGAGATTGAATAAACAGGGAAGAAGAAAGTCTAAGGAGAACTTCATAGCTGTCTTCAAATATATGTGAGGCTGTCTGGAAATGCAGGAACCACAGATACAATCTGTGTTGTTCCAAAGACAGAACACACAGACCCAGGAGGAAGAAGTGGCAGGGAGGAAGGTTTGGGCTCAACACATTGAAGACTTTCTCCCCCATGCAAGGTGCCGGGCACATGGATTTTAATGTTTTCGTTAGCAATTAGAGCTGCCCATGACTGCTTCTTTTTTTTTTTGAATGAGTGAATGAGTTTTATATGGAATTTTGATTTTTTTGGAAAATTTTAAAAATTCTTTATAATCTCTATTTTTATTTATTTTTATTTATTTAGTTTTTTTAAAGAAGATGTTGGGGGTAGGAGTTTATTAATTAATTTATTTATTTTTGCTGTGTTGGGTCTTCGCTTCTGTGCGAGGGCCTTCTCCAGTTGTGGCAAGCAGGGGCCACTCCTCATCGCGGTGCGCGGGCCTCTCACTATCGCGCCCTCTCTTGTTGCGGGGCACAGGCTCCAGACGTGCAGGATCAGTAGTTGTGGCTCACGGGCCCAGTTGCTCTGCGGCATGTGGGATCCTCCCAGACCAGGGCTCGAACCCGTGTCCCCTGCATCAGCAGGCAGATTCTCAACCACTGTGCCACCAGGGAAGCCCTATTTTTATTTTTACAGTTTGATGATTTATCACAGAGCAAACACCTAAGTATCTACCTCTCATTCAAGAAATAGATCATTGAATTCCCTGGAGGTCCAGTGGTTAGGACTTGGCGCTTTCAGCTGTGGCTTGGGTTCAATCTGTGGTCGGGGAACTAAGATCCCACAAGCAGCGCAGCACAACCGAAAAAAAAAGATCATTGCCAGCATTCCAGAAATTGCCTTTGTACCTCTAGCAAAGGGCTACTCCTCTCTTCCCCATAAAAGTAACCACTATTCTTTGACTTTTTTATCCGTGACTGCTTCTGACTGTAATGAGTTCCCCATCACTAGAGGTGTTCAAGCCGAGTTGTCCAGGATGTTGCTCTATGGATAAGAATTGAATCAAATGAATATTGAGGTCTCTTCTAGGTGTAAAATTCTATGACACTTATTAAAGGTAGAATTTCAACAGAGAGATTTTGGGAGCAAAGCAACATTTTATAAATCCTTTTCCCAAAAGGCAATAGAGTGAAGTTGTTAAAGCTGAGGGTTCTGGAGTTAGACATTGCCTGGGTTCAAACCCTGGTCATCCTACTTACTAGCTGTGTGACCCTGGGCAAGTTTTTTGCTCTCTCTGTACTTCAGTTTCCCCATCTGCAAAATGCGGTCCATAATAGTGTCTCTATCACAGAGTTATCGTGAGAACTAAGTGAGTTAATATAGGTAAAGCACTTTGAAGAATGCCTGGCACAAAGAGAGTTAACGCTCAATACACGTTAGTTACAAGGTATTATCTGATACCCTTGCTACTCTGCAGCTTTTTACGTCTTTTCAGTATGTGGAAGGAAGTCCCTTCTACCATAATTGACCCTGACCTTGTTTTTTCCTAAATCATATGCCAGCCATGGCCACTGTAATTAACCAGTGCACTGTCTATCTCCTGTAGGCAAGCTTTAAAGCTAAACAAGCAGGCAGAGCCTGTGACGCACAGTTTATGAAGGATCCTGCTGATGAAACTCAATCACGGCCGTGGACACCTTAACGCTGACACGTGCCTGGCAAGTGGTGGATGCCCAGTAAATACTTGTTGAATGAATAGATGAACT